CCCGTTCCAGCCACTGGTCAGTTTTAGCAGCAGCTGAATCGGGGAAGCTGGGGGCAGAGCAGCTCCAATGGTCCGGCTGCCTGGAGCACTTCCGGGTTCCTGATGGGGCCGGACCATCAGGAGTGCCAGACCATTGGAATTTTACTGTACTTTGCATTTGTCCTTATTAAACATCATCCTATTTCTCAGACCATTTCTCCAGTTTGTCCAGTTCATTTTGAATTATGACTCTATCCTCCAAAGCACTTGCAACCCCTCCCAGCTTGGTATCATCTGCAAACGTAATAAACACCCTCTCTATGCCGATATCTAAATCGTTGATGAAGAGATTGAACAGAACAGACCCCTGCGGAACCTCACTTGTTCTGCCTTTCCAGCAGGGTTGTGAAATGTTAATAACTACTCTCTGAGAATGGTTATCCAGCTGAGTAATCGAATAGTCAATGCATTTTGCATCGACTATTCGATGGGCACCATTGCCTTTAAAACGTAGCAACAGCCCTAGGGCTGCCAGCCCATCGACACAAGATGCTCTCCACAAACTTCCTTTCACACAATTCTGCATGGCGAACTCCTAGCAGAACTGGACCACCACAGGCGGTGCCTGCAGAATTAGTTAGCGCCCGTGGTTTCAGGAACACTTACCTGTAGAAGTTATACAGGCTCATGGGCACAGTCACTGTGAGCGCACACCCTGGAAGAGAACATCTAAGTTACTGCAGCATAAGAATTCATCAGTCGCTGAATTTCTTCAGAAGCAGCAGATGTGACAGTCTTTCTTTTTATATAGGCATTTACATGGCAGTAGCTACAAGCTTCCTTCAACCTACTGCCAGCCCACAGCTGCTCAGATTTCCAAGGGCCATTCATACGATTTGTATATTTGACTCAGCTCTTCAGAAGAGCCCTATCTTGGTTAATGAAGTTCCACTCCATGCATTTATGGAAATAACTCCAATTATTTTAGTGAATCTACGTATTTATCTGCATTCTGACAGAACTCCCAACAAGACACCAAGGAGGCAGCAGAGAAAGCATCATCATCAAGGGCTTCACTTTTTCCATGCAAAGATGACAGATTTCACACACAGTAAGGTCATTATAGAGAGAAGCAAACAAAGCTACATCTATGTCATGTGCATCATTTAGAACATTAGCGCTTCCGTTAACAAAAGCGTCAGTCATTTGACTAAGTCTCATGGCTCTCCCGGAAGGCCCCACATTCCAGGAATCCCCAACATTTCAAAAGCAGTGCGGACAGACGCTAACACTGAACGTCGACCATCACTTTGCAGCAGAAAAGCTGCCTCGGGAATAGGGATTTTATTGTGTAGTCGAGTACCGATTAACTGATACACAAAAGCTTACAGGTTAATGCTACAGACTCCCGCCCCCCTGCCAGTCCATTTTTTAGCAGGCTGGCTCAGTCCTGGCTCACGCCAGGTCCGGGACCTAACCCCCCAGCATCTCCGCATTTGAAGTGTATGAGGAGCCAGGTGGGCAGGCAGCCCGGCTCAGTTCCTGCTCATGCTGGTCTGGGAGCTCAAACCCACCTCTGGACAGGGAGCCGGTCCGGGAGGGGAGCTGGTTTTTAAACTGGCTCCCTTTACAAACCAGCTCCTGCCTGGCCCACGCTGCTGCCTCTGATACAGAGGCAGCAGCATGGAGAAGCAGGGGGCTCCTTCGGAGTGGGGCCAGAGCGCGCTAGCTGCCAGCCCCACCCCCAGGGACTACAGAAAAGTCGAGTAATCTATAAGAATTCACGAGGTTACAATTAACCGACATTCCTACTCAGGAAGGCATTTCTTTTAAAGGCTAGTGGTACCAAATCGCATTTCTTTCCAAAGGGCGAATCACAAAGACATTCAAAGTAAGAGCAATAAAGCTACCAAATTCTTCCTGGCCAGCCAACGTGGACACATTTTCAGCTCCCAGGCTGCAGTGAAGGGGGAGCTCTGACATACAACTGTCGAGAGGAGCAAGAACGTAGATCCTTGCTGTTGAGAACTAGGGACCAATCTACGGCAACAGCTGGATTCCCAAGGAGGGTCCGTAAGGCCATGCAGGCTAAGGCATCGAAGAGACATTTATTATCTAGTTCACGGGTGGACAGACTGTAGCAGTTCAGAGGCACCCTTGCGGTTTAGTAGGAAGGTGGAGCAGTGCATGCTGGGACCACCTACCTTCTGGGGCTGTGTTTGAATTCAAGGAGGAATTTGCTGCAATCTTCTCCCTTCTCTACAAGTTAGATGCAGCCTTTGGCAACTTGGCCAGTTCTCACCAAACCCTCAGTGGGATCAGTATCAGATCCAGTGCATTTTGCTGCTTACAATCTAGATGAGGACTCGGTCCAGCAAGCTTTCTACCCAGACCCGTCAACAAGTTTCTCTTTGCTAAACATGCAAACAAAGGCAACTTTGAAAGTGAAACAACTGGCTATCAGAAAAGCAACGGTGGTTAAAAGTAGGCTTCAACATGGAGCTTCTTACCAATAATCATTGTAGTGAATAGGTCTCTATATAAGAAATTAAACAGGAAAGGTGCATACCAGGCCTCAACTCCCACAATCGCTGTCACTATGTAGACAAACGAAATGGTCTGAAAAGAAAGCACAGAGAGAGAGCGCACAGGCGAGGTGAACGGCTGGAAAGGCGAGACAGATACAGCGCGCTTCTGCTGGGGCGACCAATCCCCACCAGGCCCCTGCAGGAGCGGCAGGGCCTTGGTTTCCAACCAGATTTCAGCCACAGTAGCCCGGTGCAGCCTCCCGTAGCCCAGCTGGGGCCACGCACATACGCCCCCGTTCCCAGGTTCCTACGCTGACGGCACATGAGGAAACAGCCCACCCGACGTTTCCAGCAGCATGACCCAGGAAGCCTGTCTGGAAAGGGAAGTCATGGGAGACCTGGGGTGAGGCAAGGCCTGCTTGGGCAGCGAGAGCTTAAGGCCAGTCTGGAGGAGAGGGGCCTGTGATGGTCTGTCCCGCTCACCCTCCCAACCCCCAGGGAGCTCTCTGCAGTCAATGTGGTTTGTTGGTTAACTGCCGCCTGTAGCAAACCAACCCATGGGAGCTCAGGACGGTCCTATGCACGATCAGGAAACTGCACCTTGGATTTGGAGAAACCTGGAGGCGCAGAGGCGAGGATGACCCAGGGCAAAGGACAGTAGAAATCCTGATTTCGCTAGTTGCACATGATTACGTGGAGATGCCAGAACTTGTTGCCAAGTGGTGCTTTTACACTGCCGCCTGTAGCAAACCAACCCATGGGAGCTCAGGACGGTCCTATGCACGATCAGGAAACTGCACCTTGGATTTGGAGAAACCTGGAGGCGCAGAGGCGAGGATGACCCAGGGCAAAGGACAGTAGAAATCCTGATTTCGCTAGTTGCACATGATTACGTGGAGATGCCAGAACTTGTTGCCAAGTGGTGCTTTTACAACCATTGGACCCGATGCAACGGCACAAGTATAAACGGCTAAGTCAGTACAGCTACGCTGCTGCCACAACAGACTCAGGCCCAACATGATTAGTGTCCAGTGTAACGACATTTTATTGCCTGCTAATGCAAAAGATCTGTCAACACCAAGATACTTGGGACAGACAGCACGTCTCCGCTGAGGAGAGACCAGATCTGCTGCAATCTAAGTCTGCAGCAGCCGTTTCATAATGTCTCCCTTGCTCCTTGATTCCTTAAACACCTGCTTGACTTTAATCATGCATGCAGTCTGCTATGCTGAATCAGGCCTTCCTAAAGTAGCACTGACGAGACAGTTCCAACGATTGCACCCTGCAAAAAAGCTGGCATCGTGCCCTCTGCCGGAAAGCTCTCCGCCCGGAAGAAATCTCAAGGGGATAAGGGTTAGGCAGAAGATGGGCAATTCATGACGACACGGACAGATGTCACCCAGGGAAAGATGGCAGAGCAGCACCGGTCCCTACACAAAGAGCTCCGGCAGCTAAGCAAAGTTGGCCACTATTTTCTAAATTAGCATTTTGAAACTAAGCGGCGGGAGAGCTACTTACCACCTGGCTGATGTCATATCCCCACGGCAGGAAGAGAATCCCTGTGTTATATTTCTCCCAATGGGAGAGGATGAAGGAAAACAAAACCACCCACAAGAGGAGATAGAGAACGAAGACGCTGACCCCGGTGGGTCCCCGGCCAAAGGTGGAGTAAACGGTCACGACGAAGAACACGCAGGCCCAGCTGTCCAGGCCATGGTCAAACAGTTCCCCCAGCGGACTGCTGGAGTTTGTTCGGCGAGCTTGCTTCCCATCCACGCCATCTGGAAAGGAAGGGCACAGAGATGAGGTGTTTAAGTCTCGGCTTGACAAAGCCCTGGCCGGGTTGATTTAGTTGGGGTTGGTTCTGCCTAGAGCGGGGGGCTGGACTTGATGACCTTCTGAGGTCTCTTCCAGATCTACGATTCTAGGCAAAGCTCAAAATCTGCATGCAAAGTAAGTGACTTCTCTGCAGCCGCCCGATAATGCAGGCACAGCTGAGAAGCCAGCAGCTGGCTTCAGTTCCCACCACTGTCCTGGGAGGCACCGAGACTGAACACACAAAAAACCCCTTAGGAAGAGTCTACTTTAAATATTAGAATGTATTTAAACATTTAGCAGCAATCTGCATTCAGTATTTCGCGAGTAGCCCCCGAAGAGGCAGTTCTGGTAGGAGGAGAAATCTACGTCTATGCTCCTCCCTTGAAATGGATAAAACAGATAAAACAATCCCAAGTGGCAGTTTCTAGAGGCATAAGAACATAAGAACGGCCGTACTGGGTCAGACCAAAGGTCCATCTAGCCCAGTAGCCTGTCTGCCGACAGTGGCCAGCACCTGGTACCCCAGAGAGGGTGGTGTCTCCTGCCATCCCTCTCCAGCCTCTGACAAACAGAGGCCAAGGACACCATTTTATCCCCTGGCTAATAGCCTTTTATGGACCTAACCTCCATGAAATTATCTAGCTTCTGTGTTATAGTCCTAGCCTTCACAGCCTCCTCTGGCAAGGAGTTCCACAGGTTGACTGCGCTGTGTGAAGAACTTTCTTTTATTAGTTTTAAACCTGCTACCCATTAATGTCATTTGGTGTCCTCTAGTTCTTCTATTTAGGGAACTAATAAATAACTTTTCTTTATCCGCCCTCTCCACACCACTCATGATTTTATAGACCTCTATCATATCCCCCCTCAGTCTCCTCTTTTCTAAACTGAGAAGTCCCAGTCTCTTTAGCCTCTCCTCATATGGGACCCATTCCAAACCCCTAATCATTTTAGTTGCCCTTTTCTGAACCCTCTCTCAGCCAGTCATAGGCTGTTCTCAATATCAGAGCAAGGGAAGGGAGGGGAACCGTGGAGTGACCCAGTCACACTGTTTCTTGGGGGGCAGAGGTTGGGTTTGGGAAACAGAACTATGACAGCGATTCACTTGACTAATTAGCGTCATGACGACAGGCACCTTGGAAATCCAAGATGCAGCATAAGAATCTGAAGTCTTACCCAGTGTATATGCCGCAAAGTTGAGGATACCCACTATGACCCACACTTGACTTGGAACATGCACGTGATCGGGTGCTGTTGAGATTGGAAAGAAAATTGGAGCGTTGAGGACACACAATTCATCAGAGATGCTTTCAACAAGAACCGTGTTAGCAATTCACTGGGACAAGGCTGCCGACAACTCAGGGGTGGGCAAGAAACCTCTCACAGGCCGCATCCGGCCTGCCAAGCCACAGGATCCAGCCTGTGGACCCCTGCCAGGACCCTCACGCACACAGAAGTCGTGGATTTAAGCACAGGGCGGCCAATAAGAACCGACTCCAGCCAATCTTTCAGCTCCTATTGGCCGGAAAGGACCAGCCATTAGGAGCTGAGAACCACATGGAGGGAGCAGCCTGCGGTTTTAAGCCATCTGGGGCTGCCACAGGCAGGGAACCCAGCCTGCCTTGGGGGGTGCTGCAGGGCTGCTGGCCAGGAGACACTTAGGTAAGTGCCTCTCAGCCAGATCTTGCCTCTGGCACCCCAACTCCCTCCCCCAGATCACCATCCAAACTCTGCACCCCCTGCCACTCCCCCCCCCAAGCCAGAACCCTCTCCTGCACCCCAATCCCTGACCCCGGTCACCATCCAAATCCTCTGCACCCCCCCCGCTCCCGCTCACAACCCCCTCCCAGACTCTGTACCCCGCTCTATGCCCCTCCCCCAGACCAGAATCCTCTCCTGCACCCAACCTCCGTCTCAGACCCCACAGCCCCTCCTGCACCCCGTCCCTTACCCAACGCGCCTTTCTGCACCCTCCTGGGCCCAGCACCCCCTCCACAGGGAAGTGCAGCCCTTGGAGCCCCCCCATCAAAAATTACTGCCCACGCCTGCTCCAAAGCTGAATCCTCTCCCTAGTCAGAGGAGGTTTCTTTCAATTCTCCCCAGCGTGCTTGCACTACCAAAGAGAAATGCATCAAATCAGCCTTCAACCGCTCCGCTTCGATCAGCATTATCTTATGCTTCTGCCTGGTATCCAGCAGACCCCCAAAACTGCACTTTGCTGAACGGTCAAAGGTCTGAGCATAATCTCCAGTTTCACAGACCCAAATACGGCATCTCCCTCCCCCTCCCAGCCCTTCAAATAGGCAACGTTTTCAATGGAACAGAGGCACACTTGACATTTTTACTGATGAGCTATTTTAAGTCAAAGACTTTAGAGCACAGGCTGAATTCTAGATTAGAACTAGATGGATTTGCATTTCCTGGGCTGGGCATTCAATTACCTAATTACAGTACACCCAAGGTCCCATGGAGTCCCCCCCCCCCCCCCCCCACACACACACACTTCCTCACAGGGTGGACAAAGATAGCAGGAGTGCCAGAGTAAACAGCAGTAAGGTGAAATTCTGTCTCCACGTGGGGGCGCTTCCATTGCGTTCATTTTTAATATTTATTGTGTGGCAGGTTGCAGACAGGAGTGAAGCGATGAGGCCAGGAGAAACGTTAGCTGAGGGGGAGTTCAAGGGAGTTCACGAGCCACGTAATCATGATCTTATCACTGAGCAAGTACGCTTTGCTGTCATGGAAACAGGCACGGGCAAAGATAGAAGCCCCCAACTTATTTACGGATGACGCGGGGATTGAGCAAAACGTCTGCAAAGCGCAAGTCTGTTTTGGGAAGGGACCGCGTGAGGCCAGCAGAGGGGCACAGAGTCCCAGGTCAGAAAGCCGTGAGATCTAGTCTAGGCCGGAGAACGTGCCCACAATCATTCCTAAAGAACAACTTTTGAAAAAATTCCCAATCTTGATCTAAAAAACGCAAGCGAGAGAACTCGCCACAGCCCTTGGGGGACGGTCCTAATGGGTAATTACTCTCACACGCCTTATTTCCTGTCTGAATTAAGCGGGGGGGAGGGGGGAGGAGAAAATCAGGGTCCGGGATGCTGGACGGGAGGGGAGGGGCCAAAGGAAGGGGGCTGGGAAGCAGAGCGG